ATTTCATTATTCCTCACCTGAACAGGTGGCCATCAGAATCTCTCTTTCCTCTAAGCCCTGGAGAGCTGGGGCCCCTGGCTCCTCCGTTTGTTTCACCTGGGAGATCACATCGGATCTGAACACAGGAAACCCTGCTCAGGGGAAGGAAAAGAAGCGAGATCAGGTGAATTAATTTCATTCATTCCGAAAAAAAAAGTTATATTATTTTAACAGCCCATTGTAACACAGCTCCCCAAACAATCAAAGGTGCTTAGGAGGGGTTTAACTATCCCCATATCTGCTGGGAACACACAGCCAGACACTCATCATGAAAGGATCCTGAACACACAGAGAAGGCAACTCCATGTCCCGGAAAGGGAAGACTTAGAGGGGAGCTCACTGACAGACATCCAGAGAGAGTCATAGGGAAGATGGAATAGGCAAGCAAGCTGTGACATGGAGGCCCAATTGTGGCTCACTCCTCTGTGTCCGGAACACCTATAAGGTCTGACAAACCCACTCTGGTTTAATAGAATTTATTCAAAAAGTTGCTCGTAAGGCATCAAATGAAAGCTGGCAAAGAGCAACAAAAATGATGAAAGGTCTAGAAAACATGACCGATGAGGGAAGATTGAAAAAATTGTGTTTGTTTAGTCTGGAAAAGAGAAGATCAAGAGGGGACATGAAAACAGTTTTCAAGTATATAAAAAGTTGTTACAAGGAGGAGGGAGAAAAATTGTTCTTAACCACTGAGGATAGGAGAAGAAGCAATGGGCTTAAACTGCAGCAAGGGAGGTTTAGGTTGGACATTAGGAAAAACTTCGTGTTAAGCACTGGAATAAATTGCCTAGGGAGGTTGTGGAATCTCCATCATTGGAGATTTTTAAGAGCAGGCAGGACAAACACCTGTCAGGGATGGGTTAGATAATGGTCCTGCCATGAGTGGAGGGGACTGGACTAGATGACCTCTCGAGGTCCCTTCCAGTCCTACGATTCAGATAATTGTGAAATGTGTGCACTGATGCTATATGAGGAATAATGTGTACCTAGTGATATTATGCATTAACGCAGTAGTCCTCAAACTTTTGAGGGTCACCCCCCCTTTTCCCCTGTCTGCCCCCGCACCCCAGGCCGGGAGCAGGGGGGTGGGAATGTGGACAGGGGGCCAAGGCTGGGGCCAAGGCTGGGGGTGGGTCTGAGGCCAAGGCTGGAGCTGTGACCAGGGGCCAAGGCTGGGGGTGGGAGCAGAGCCATGGCGGGGGCTGGGTGTGACTCTGCTCCTCCCCCGCTCCCAGCCTTGGCCCCAGGCCAGGAATGGAGCCACAACAGGGGCCCAGGTGCATGGCTAGGTGCGGGGCTGGGTAGCACTTCCCTCCCTGCCCCCCATGGGGACTGGCCCAGGCCACCACCCCCGAACATTTCTCTGAGCCCCACAATTTGGGGACCTTTGCTTTAATGTCTAACCAAACAAAGGGAGAAACAAGTTTCTTCCAGACAGGAGGGAAGGTGTCTCTGTCCTACATGTCTACTCTAGAACTTACGTAGGCAAAACTTTGGTCGCTCAGGGATGTGAAAAAAAAACCCACACACCCTGAGCAACAGAAGTTTTGTTGGCAGGAGACGCTCTCCTACTGACATAGCCACTGCCGCTCATTGAGCTGGTTTTATTACATCAACGGGAAAGCTCTCTCCCATTGGCATAACGCAGCTACACAAGTGTTCTCGCGGCAGTACAGCTATGCCACTGGAAGCTTGTAAGGGTATGTCCACACTAGTGATCGATCGATTTATCGCGTCTTGTCTAGATGCGATAAATCAATCCCCGAACGCGCTCCCTGTCGAATCCAGACCTCCACCAGGGCGAGAGGCGGAAGCGGAGTTGACAGGGGAGCCGCGGCCATCGATCCCGTGCCGTGAGGACAGGAGGTAAGTCGTTCTCAGATACGTCAACTTCAGCTATGCTATTCTCATAGCTGAAGTTGTGTATCTTAAATCGATCCCCCTCCCCACCCCCAGTGTAGACCAGCCCTTAGTGTAGATGTGGCTTAAGTTCAGCATTGCGAGCTAAATACAATGGGACCTACATGTGCAAATTAAGTAAAGAGGAGAAACAAGTTAACATGGGGATGTGAAGGCAACATGGCACCAGCACACCGGAGAAGAAGTGATGTGGGAGAGGTGTCTTATCTGATAGCCCTCTTCAAAAGGATACATTTCAGAGGTTTACTGGACTATAAAAGGCAGGAAAAAGAATCCCCTTTGTTATCCATTTCACCGAAGAACACCCTTAGTGGAAGTGGATGGTCTGTGAATGTTCTGGATCCTGGTTTGACCGGAAACCAGCATTTGAGGCCAAGTTAAAGCAGTGGACGAGGACTGTATCTTGATAAGTTTAAATCTTGGTCTCTAGAAAGCACAATACAGGAGAACCTCCGAATTTCGAACCCCTCGGGAATGGAGGTCGTTCGTAACTCTGAAACGTTCGTAACTCTGGACAAAACATTCTGGTTGTCCTTTCAAAAGTTTACAATTGAACATTGACTGAATACAGCTTTGAAACTTTACTATGCCGAAGAAAAATGCTGCTTTTAACCATCTTAACTGAAATGAAACAAGCACAGAAACAGTTTCCTTACCTTGTCAGATCTTTTTTTAAACTTTCCTTTTATTTTTTCAGTAAGCTTACATTTAACACAGCCCGGTAGTGTATTTGCATTTTGTTTTGGGTTTTTTTTGTCTCTGCTGTTGCTTGATTGCGTACATCCAGTTACCAAGAGGTGTGTGCTTGACCGGTCAGTTCGTAATTCTGGTGTTTGTAACTCTGAGGTTTTACTGCATACTTTTGTTTTATTTGTAACTACTTCAGTTCTTATTACCCTTGCTCACTGCATATTTGAATCTGCCCATTTGAATCTCCGAGTCTGTTTTTTGTGAATAAACTTATATCTGTTTTCCCTATGAAGAAATTACAGTGCTGCCTTGTTATAAAGGACCCGCTCCAGAGTTGTAACCTTCCAAGCTGCAGGTGCTGCCCCTTTGGGGGCACCAGACCTGGTAATTTCTGTGAGTGTCCAGTGACAGGAGCTGGACACTACAGGGGGTGCGTCAGGGGAGTTGGAGGAAAGGTGTACACCAAGGGTTAACCTGCCAGGCAAAGTGAGAGCTGGCAGAACCCTGAGGAGTTTCTTTGTGGGGGCTAAAGACTGGGAGCGGATACACAGATTAACTCCAGCACATCTCTCTTGCTGTGGCAGGAGGAGAAGACAATGACCTACAGTTCTGGACACCCCGAGAAGATGTCGCACATGGGCTGGTGGGGTTCAGAGTAGTAAGGAATAGGAGGGAGCAGGGAAAGCGCATAGAATCTTAGAACTGGAAGGGCCCTCGAGAGGTCATCTAGTCCAGTCCCCTGCACTCATGGCAGAACTAAGTATTAGCTAGACCAGGGTTCTCAAACTGGGGGTTGCAAAGTTATTACATGGGGGGCCACGAGCTGTCAGCCTCCGCCCCAAACCCCTCTTTGCCTCCAGCATTTATAATGGTGTTACATATATAAAACAGTGTTTTTCATTTATAAGCCGGGGGGAGGGAGGTGTCGCACTCAGAGGCTTGCTTTGCGAAAGGGATCACCAGAACAAAAGTTTGAGAACCACTGATCTAGACCATCCCTGACAGGTGTGTGTCTAACAGGCTCTTAAAAATCTCCACTGGTGGAGATTCCACAACCTCCCTCGGCAATTTATTCCAGTGCTTAACCACCCTGACAGTTATGAAATGAAGTGGTGAATCAATTAATAAATTTGCACTGCTCGTCTTGAGCAGTACAGGAGGGTATATTCCTGAGGGTACAGTGCTGGGAGGGTTTGGCTCTGGTGCCTTTCTCTTTGTGATTCATGAGTGGCTCTGGGAGCATTCATGCAATCTAGTTGGGTGTGGGGCTCCACATGCTGTTGTGCTGAGTGATAGCAGGGCCTGGAGGGGTTTGCTGGTTGTCACTAGCAAAGCATTGCAAGAGACAGCCCAGGTTGGAGAGTTAAGGGGGCACAGCGGTCCCACGCTGCACCCCGGGGATCCCGTCACAGGTGGGATAGCCAGTTCAGGTAATTGTTTGCAGGAAAGAGACAAAGAAATTACCCTGATGGGATGTCTGAAGAAGCTAGACCTGCCTAGATGTCCATCAGGGGATGATCAGCCAGGCAGGCATGAAGACCATTTTCAAATCTTTTTTCCTCTACTGCATAATAAATACTTCTTTGGTTTGAAGAAGACTCTTTTGTCACTGATCTCAGACTCCCGAAGGGAAGTACTAAAGGTGTCCGCACTCAGCCTGACCTACTGGGTAAGCACAGAGGGTACTGTAGCCCAGGGCCTGGTTTAGGAGAAGAAGAATTGCTGAATTCCACTCCAGGAGACAGAAAGGCACGAGATCTGACCTCAGAGGAGAGGAACTCAAAGAGATGAGGAAGGGGACAGAGATGCAGCTAGCCCATCACTCACCGTGGCACTGTGACAACCCCAGGGGGAAAACGGGGGGGGTCTGAACCCCAAAGCAAGGGTAGCATCTGATGGTATGCAATATTACTGTACTGTAAAAGTGCTCAATAGAGCAAGGTCTTGTCTGAAAGCCTGCAATATGCTGGTCATTACTATCATTGTGAAATGTCCGTCTGAACACCACATGAGGAATTATGGATACTCGCCTCTCGATGCTTTTGAGTTTGTGACCAGACAAATGGAGAAACAAGTTGTCTCTTGGACAGGAGCGGAGGCAGCTGGCCACCTGTCTGCAACAGCATTCCCGTCACACTCCCCGCCAGTACCTGGCCCGAGCCGGGGAAGCTAATGACCCGACCAGCAGAACAAATTCAGTGATGATTGCTAGGAGCGTTAGTGATGTTAATGTAATATTCAGGCCTGTATATTTGCTTGAGATAGAAGTTTGGGTCTTGTTTGGATCATTTGATATTTTTTTTCTTATTAATTTTGTATTCTTATTAATATGTGTGAATGAAGAACAAAGACACCACAAGCCGATGGGGTGATAAGAGATAGAGCTAAAGTGTTGCTGGGCAGAGTGGGAGTGTAATATAGGAGTGTACACTTGAAGGACACTCCTAGAATCATAGAATATCAGGGTTGGAAGGGACCTCAGGAGGTCATCTAATCCAACCCCCTGCTCAAAGCAGGACCAATCCTCAACTAAATCCCCAAGGACTGAACTCACTGCTATCCCTCCCCCCATCCTGCCTCAACTCCTCTCCCAAGATAAGGTCAAGCAACCAGTCGGGCGGGGCGAGGGGAGATTGGGGGTGGAAGGTATAAAAAAACACTGAAAGACAAAGAAATGCCTGTCTCTGACCAAAGCACAACCTCACTCCTTACCTTTCCCATGGGATACAGAAGAGGTGGTACCAAAGCCCCCAGACTCACGACCCTCCAAAACAGAACATGACCATACATTGTAAGCAGTGGGACCAAGGGCGTGCACTGCAGGTATAATTATGCCTTCTAAGGAAGAGGAAACTGGGACACTGGGAAAAAGGCTCTGCCGGCGTGTAGAACTATGGATATGCTTGATTAATGCCAATAAACATTGCATTGCCTGCATCTCCTGCTTTCTGTCTGCGGGCCAAGAAGCAGGGGAGGGTGAAGGGAAAGCCAGCCCCTAACAATGATGTAAATTAACCAGGGTGGAATCAAAACAACGGAAAAGCCATTTACATGCAAACGACTAGGGAGATGGGAAGCGCACAGAAAGGGAAGAACAGGAGGAAGCAATACTGCCTCTTGAAACAGAGACATTTCGGGGGGAATTAAGGAGGGTAAAAAGACAATTGAGCAGGAGACACAGGAACCAAGTGCTCTGGGTTTTGCTGTGTTGGATCCTGGCTAAGCACTGGCCGGCCACGCTGGAAGGAGGAGCGTGGGGAGCAAACGACTTTGAACAAAAAACCTAGTTAGTGAAGTTAGGCTTTAGTCTCAGAAGTGTATTTTAACTTGGGTTTGTTAGTAACTATTTCTGTCCCAATTCCCTCTCCTTGGTGTTACCTAAATAACCGTTCTTTGATAAACTTAGTCTTGTTTTATTGCACAAGCATCCCGGTGCAGAGCTACACCCTGAGGAGTGAAATCAGCCAAACTAAGTCCATGGCTATACTAGAGAGCTTACAGTGAGGCAGCTGCGCTGCTGTAAGATCTCTTGTGTAGCCGCTCTGCATAATTAAACCACCCCAATGAGCGGCGGTAGCTATGTGGGCAGGAGAAGCCCTCCCACTTTCACAGCACGATGCACATTGGTGCTTATGCTGGTAAAGAGGTGATCTCACTTGGCTAGTGTGTGCTGGTGTGTGTGGAGTAGGCTCAGTGTTGGAGTGCAGGCCAGTGGCAGGCAGCTTCTCTTCATTCTGCCAGACTTAAACCCCAGTTTTGCCTTCACAAAGAGAAGTTGTTAGACTTTGTGCGATAATGCATCTGCTCTGTTCCCAGAGCGTTCTGTAGCAGAGGAGGGCAGGGTGATAGTTTGTGTGTCACTGGCATATTGGGGTGATACTGAAACAGGACAGAGTAGGGATGGCATTGGGGGGGTGACATGACCCTTAACTTTTCATTTCCCCTTCCAAGAACTGAGGGGATGGGAATCCTTACCCAGCGAGGTCACATTCTCATAGTTCTCCTGCATGACATCCCTGTAGAGACCTCTCTGAGCGGGGTCCAGCAGAGCCCACTCTTCCCTGGTGAAATACACAGCCACCTCCTCGAAGGTCACCGGCCCCTGAAAGAGCAAGAGTCCAACACTCAGTACCTGCTGCCCCACTCACAACTCCACTATTCACGGGGGAGAAGAACCTAGCAGATGGAAGTTCTGGGAGGCTCACAATCAGCAGGTCCCTCCTCCACCCTGCTCAGAGCAGCCAGCAGGCCTCAGAGTGAAGCGAGAAAGAGAGGATCTCTCGCACTTCCCAGTAGACAGCCATTCATCACACACCTACTAGCCAGAGCCTGATACAGGAGATGGGGCCCCTAGCAGGCTCCAGGCCCCCTGGTAGGAATCCCAACCCCCTCCCCATTGCCAACAGCTGGATGTCAGGGGATGGGGCATCTCCCCTAAGCCCCTCTGGTGGGTGTCCCCTTCATGTTGCTCAGAAGCCTTTGGTTAGTAGGTTGAGGCTCTAGCACTAGTAATCTGGTAAATTTCCCCAGCTCAGGCCAAGGGGTTTGTTTCCTGTTCCACTAATACGGGGATTTGAACCCCAACCTCCCATAGGTCTGTTCCTAGAATCCAGGCCCCAGGTTGAACAAGTTCCGGCAGGTTTGCCACATCCTGTCCCCATCCCTTTCTCCATCCTGTGGATTTCCTGCCCCCTCCCACCTCTTGACCAAATTCCCAAGCAATCCCCACCTCCTTTGTATTTTCTGCCCCCCACCCTTCCCCCCGCAGCACGAACCCACCAGCAACTCCCTCAGAAAACTTACCTGGACTGGCTCCATTGCAGCCATTGCCCTTCCTCGTACCCGGGGAGGATGGGAGCATCGGGAGCCTAAGGCGGGTGTTACTCTGCAGCCTGTCAGGGTGAGAAGGGGGACTGGGGAGATTTCAGAAGGGGCTTTAATGCATTTCACATCACGATTGCTCCTGGCTCTTTCCCTACCGACAGATTTTTCTTAAGAGCAGGTTGGACAAACACCTGTCAGGGATGGTCTAGATAATACTTAGTCCTGACATGAGTGGAGGGGACTGGACTAGATGACCTCTCAAGGGCACTTCCAGTTCTATGATTCTATGGAATTGCATCAGACCCACTGGTTGACCTGCTGCCCAGAATTCTTTTGGGCTGCATTCCCCTCTCCAGTTTTATTCTGGTCTACGTGATTCTGGTCTACGTCTCATGTTCCTAAAGCTCAGGCTTCCAGACGGCCAATGGCAGGGGTCAGGAAGGGATGTCGTCTCTCTCTCCTCCCCCCCCCCCAATGTATTCTGGGAGGTTTTTTGTTTTTATCTCCTTCCTCTGAAGCACCAGGGACAGCCGCGGCTGGAGATGGGACACTGGGTGGGGGTAATCGTTTCCCTGTCAGGGGCCTCAAGCATCTCACTCCGCACCCACCATTCTCTGCCTCTGGCACATAACAGTCTAGTCTGCTGTGGGCTGTGATACTTTGAGCTCACTCCGGCTGTTGGGTTTAGTAGGCAGGTGGTGGGTCGGGTTGGTGACCTGTGACACAGGAGGTCAGACCAGATGATCCAGTGGATCCATCTGGCTTGAAACTCTATGACTCTATAACTGGACCAGTTTGGGACCTTGTCACCGCTCTCCCCACTTACTTCTCCTTCAGTTTATCTATTTCCTTCCCCCTCTCCTCTCCCTCCAGCTGCGAGACTTGGCCCACACCTATGTCTGGGTTCCCTCCCACCCCTGCAATCATAGAATCATAGAATATCAGGATTGGAAGGGACCTCAGGAGGTCATCTAGTCCAACCCCTTGCTCAAAGCAGGACCAATTCCCAACTAAATCATCCCAGCCAGGGCTTTGTCAAGCGGGGCCTTAAAAACCTCCAAGGAAGGAGATTCCACCACCTCCTTAGGGAACCCATTCCAGTGCTTCACCATCCTCCTAGTGAAAAAGTTTTTCCTAATATCCAACCTAAACCTCCCCCACTGCAACTTGAGACCATTACTCCTTGTTCTGTCATCTGCGACCACTGAGAACAGTCTAGATCCATCTTCTTTGGAACCCCCTTTCAGGTAATTGAAAGCAGCTATCAAATCCCCCCTCATTCTTCTCTTCTGCAGACTAAACAATCCCAGTTCCCTCAGCCTCTCCTCATAAGTCATGTGCTCCAGACCCCTAATCATTTTTGTTGCTCTCCACTGGACTCTTTCCAATTTTTCCCACATACTATGGATATGTGAAGCAAGAAAACATGGGAACAAGGCTACCTATGCCAAGTCTCTCCTGATAGAAATAGATTTAGTTAGGAAACAAAATGAATTATGCCTCTCCCTTTTACTACTTTTGGAGGTTCTTAAAAAGAG